TTCTCCTTCTCCTTTCCAAGTCCCTTCGATGAGCTTTCAGCCACAGGTTCTTCAACAATCTTAGCCTTTCCCTTTAAAGGCTTCCCACCTTGTTCCATCCATTCTTTCAACATCTTAAGAGTATACTTTGCCTCTATTCCCTAAAGCTCCATTGTGTCCTTGCTGTCAGCATCACCTTGCAGCCACTTGACCATTTCTGGAAAGTGCTGAGAAACTCTACTGAAGGTTGGATGCCAAACATTGCTCCACTGGCTTTTTCCAATAAAAAGCTCAGTAACCTGCTTCTCGGTAGGTGGTTTTTCAGGCCACTGCTTGACGTGGTGCATGTCATTAAGAGCTTTGGTAACAGCAAGATAGCAAAGATATTGCTCTGGGAGTGACTTGGCAGCTGCCGTACGTGTATGGTTCATCGAAACCTTGAGAATATGGAGAAGACTCATTTCATATGCAGTGAAAGAAGTATCCTCAGCATCTGCAGTTGTAACTGCTTCAGCAGCTAATGGCTCAACTCTGCCAGTTTGGATGTCCCCAGATGTAGATATGGAATGTGTGTGAGAGTGGGAACGAACAGGTGTGGAAGAACGAGAGGTAGACGGAACAGATCCACCTTGGAGTGAACGAGCATGGGAAGGAGCAATAGAGGAAAAGGAAATCCCAGGCTCAAAAGAACTCTAAAAAAAAGAAATTAATATTCTATAATATATCAGAATAGTAGATAACACTTACAACAAGAATGTGAAGAGTTGCTTTCCCATCAGAATTGTTGAATAAAATACTGTCATTTATCTCGACTGCACTATCATAGAGACCTTCAGCAACCCAAAGCCCATCCAAAGTAGTGTTTAAAGGTTCAGTCCATAGGACCGCAAAAAACCGGTGGACCGAACTGAACCGGACCATGGTCCAGTCTTTTTTTCGGTTGCAGTTGCCCCAATTTGGGGTTGGTCCGGTTGCCGGTTGCCTCATTTCGAAAATCTTTTAAAACCGTTCAAAGACCGGTTTTAATCGGTTGCAACCGGTTAAACGGTCATGTGCGTTACATAGCCTTGTAACCACGTTTATTGCCTTTTATTGGGTTTTTTTTTCATCAAAAACGGTTAAGAATTGAGAAAGATATAACCAAATCCATATTTTACTTGAGTCTCTATGAGATGTAATTTGGTTTCAGTCATAGCTATGTCAAATCTTCATTAAATCTCTTGAAAATTGGTAGAATGATGGGTATTTATATGCTTTACTATTTTATATAACCCGTTTATTTTTCAGAGTAATAATGGTTGAGATACAAATGGTTTATATTGGTATAATAAATTATATGCAAAAAAACCGGTCTGGATCGGTCTGAACCGGTATCATGGACCGCAAAAGACTGGTCCTAGGTGGTTCGGTTCGGTTCCCTCAATATCTGGGTCAGTCCTGGACCGGTTGCGGTCCACGGTTGCGCGTTTTCGGGGCAAAAAACCGGACTGAACTGAACCTTTAAACACTAATCCAAAGCATCATAAACAAGAATACGATTTCCTAAAGAAAGTTATATCATCAAATTTAGAACATTATATTTCATAAATAGCTTATGAGTGATGGGTGGCCAATGAACAGCTACTTCCTTCAGAACTGGCCCCAAGTTTAAGTTAACAGTGACAGGAACCTTTAGGCTAGGTTGCATCTTAGTGAAGTCAAGTTCAACAGGGTCCAAAGGTGATACATAGATTTTCACAACACCCTTGACCTTTTCTACATTAGAAGAAATATGTAGTTCTTCATCGTCAACAGGGTTGTAATATTGACCCATAGCCCGATTCCGCAAGATGCCACCTGTAGCTCTAGAAGAACCCTCAGGACGAGGAGGGCTTTCCATGGTGACATCAGGCTCATTAGCAGGAGTTGAAGGTCTCTGGGTCATGATAGCAGTAGAGGTGGGAGTGGGCATATTTAAGTTAGCAGTGGTATCAGAACTCATAGTGGAAATAACAGCAGAAATAACAGAAACAGGAGGAGCAGGAGCAGGAACAGCAGGAGCAAGAACAGGAGCAGGAACAGAAACAGCAGGAGCAGGAACAAAAACAGCAGGAGCAGAAACAGAAACAGCAGAGTCAGCAGCAGAAGCAGCAGGGACAGCAAGAGAAGCAGCAGATAATGAAGTAGAAGTAGAGGCTTTCCGTTCAGGTGGTGCAACTGAAATGCCTTGTTTGGAAAGAAGCTTCATGGTGCTTTAAATACTTCAATATCATAATTTTAATATCTGAAACTAAAAAAAAAACTCACTGAGTCTGGTGTTTGACTCACTTGGCTTCTTCTGCTGCCACCTCTGCATTTTTCTGTGCACTTGTCTTGCGTGCCTTTTTGCTAAAAATTTAATTGAGAATATGTCAATGTAAATTCAAATAATTTTATACCCTTTGTTGGACCCCTTGTTCAAAATAACATCCTTCCCCCTCTTCCCTCCATGTCTGGGTTTATTGACAACCACCTCATCCTCTAGCTCAGCAAGAGCTTCTCCCTCTTCCTCCTCCCCCTCCCCCCCCTTCTGCCCATCCCCCTCCTCTCCCTCCTCCTCCTCCTCTACCTCCTCCTCTCCCCCATCCTTCCTTCCCTCTCCCCTCTCTACCTCCAGATCAGCCTTGGATGCCTTCTTGTTTGAGTTGGATCTTAATCTCTTCTTAGGAGTCTGATCAGCAGCAGATCCCTGCCTCTTCCTGGCTGTAGAGGTGGCAGCTGAAGTAGATTTGGTGGTGGCTCTGGTGGTTGGCATGGTGAAACAGTGAGCAGTGGTGGTGGTGATAGAACAAGGTGCAATCTGCCTTAGAAGATGCCAGAAGGCCAGATATGGCAACCTTACACACACAACCAAATTTCGTGAAGGCCACACTTCGAAATTGCAAAAGTTATCAAGTACAGTAGTACCTACGTAAACCAACCCAACTTAATGTAACTACCTATGTAATCTACATATGGGGTACTCATATCAATACGAGGTGTCATTAAAAAGACAACGGGGACAGGCCTAGGGCTGCAAACGAGGTAAGTGAGAGGGGGGGTGATGACAACGGGGTGGGAAACGGCATGGGCGCTCTCGCGTGCAAACAATATACATGGTATGGGCGCCGCATTCGCGAAGTGATCCTGGGGCTGCAAGTAAGAGGGGGGGTGATGACGACGGGGTGGGAAACGGCATGGGCGCTGTTGCGTGCAAACAATATACGTGGTATGGGCGCCGCATTCGCGCCGTAATCCTGGGGCTGCAAACGAGGTAAGCGAGAGGGGGGTGATGACGACGGGGTGGGCACTCACCATTTGACAGTGCCCATGCCACGGCATGGGCGCTGTCGCGTGCAAACGACGTATGTGGTGTGGGTGCCGCATTCGTGTGGTATCCAGTGTGTGCCGTGATCCTGGGGCTGCAAACGAGGTAAGCAAGAGGGTGGGCACTCACCATTTGACAGCGCCCATGCCGTGGCATGGGCGCTGTCGCGTGCAAATGATGTACGTGGTGTGGGTGCCGCATTCATGTGGTATCCAATGTGTGGACTGGTAGCTACCACTTACATCATGTACTCCTGAGCTGTACCATAGAAGTTCCTGCTTAGCTACCGTGAATGAAATGAAATGAATTTTCATTCATTCACGGCACCTGTTTCATTCTAGATAATTTATTCTGTTTCATTCATTCCTGGCGACTGTTTCATTTTTTTCTTTCATTCCACCAGGGCAACTGTTTCATTCCTTGCTTCATTCTTCTCAGGTGCCTATTTCATTGTTAGAGCTGGGAAAATGATTATGTAATTGATACAAAATATTTAAGTGCCTTATTTGGCAACAGCATGCCTATCTCATTGTGTATTTGAGCCTCAAATGCAAAAGTACCCCCATATGGCCTCCCACACCACTGCAGTAGGGCACAACACATATCAGGCATAATTGTATATTATTTCCTTATTTAGATGTGTGTTAAAACATCGAAATTGTTGCCTGAAAGAATGAAACAAAAATGAAATAACTGCCTGGAAAGAATGAAATGAAAATTCCATGGCAATGAATGAATGAAAAAAATGAAACAGTTGCCAGGAATGAATGAAACGAAAGAATAAAGCAAAAAATG